CCATCGTCGATTTTAATCGACTAAATTGAATAGTTGTTGCAGCTCTAGTTGAAATGTGTATTCCAAGTCATCCGTGCATTCAATATTTGTCCCTAGGTGACATTATGGGTCTGAAAGACCCCGGATGTCTCCATAAAGAGGACCTGTCACACCCTATCTGCTATTACATAGGGTGCTTGTTAGCCCCCTATGTAATAGCAATAGCGTTAGTGTAAAAAAAAAAAAATCTTTAAAAATTTAAGTCACACAAGAGAAATTAAAAAAAATAAAATGTAAGTCCCCCTCCCTCCACGTGCACGCACATACACATGCAAACACGCGTCGGTGCGCTTACGTGCGAAAATGACAATTGTGCTACACATGTAACATATCGCCGCGAATGTCGGACAGCAATAATTATAGGGCCATCAATCACTGTTTGATGAGCGGTAAAAGTGTTTAAAATGTTCCCTAGGGAAATTTGGGGTATTTAAATTTTTTGCGGGCGAACACAATTTTAAAGCTTAAAATGTTTGGTATCTATTTACCCGGCGTGACCCCGTTTTTCATATTTTACAAAAAAATTGGGTATTATATTATGTTACATAGTTACATAGTATTTGGGGTTGAATAAAGACATACGTCCATCAAGTCCAACCCATATAGGTCCACGCATCATCTCATTCTTAGGGATACTGGTATCCCTGGATATTAAGGTCCCTCAAGAAATTGTCCAAACGTTTCTTGAACAAATCTACACTCTTGGCTGAAATCACTGCCGATGGCAGTGAGTTCCAGACCTTAACCGCTCTTACTGTAAAGAACCCTCTTCGCGCATTGTGCTGGAATTTTTTCTCCACTAACTTTAGGTGGTGGCCTCTAGTCTTTGTAATGGAGTTGTTCTCAAACAGTTTGTTGCCAATGTTGCTGTCACCACTGAACATCTTGTACATGAAAATCATATCCCCCCTTAATCTCCTTAATTCCAGCGTAAACATGTTTAAGGTCAGAAGCCTTGTCTCATAGCTCTGGTCCTCCATTCCCCTAATTAGTTTTGTTGCCCTCCGCTGGCTACAAGTCCCAGCAATACACACACTCTCTCTCTCTCTCTCTCTCTCTCTCTCTCTCTTCCCAGCACCTCCTCCCACTCCAAACTTACCTTACCTCTCCTGCAGGCCCATGGCCCTCTTCCTCGTCTCGGCGGCCAGGGGGCTCTGCTCCTAAGAGGCAGTACCAGCTCATTCTCCGGGATCAGTGACAGCCTCTCCAGCCCTTTTGCACAGCCGCCCGTACATGCTGCGGGTGGCTGTGCGACAGGCAAGGAGCGGCACGATCGCGGGGGGGCCCTCTACTTCCTTGCTGGGCCCCCCCCAAGTGGCGGAACGCCAGGGCCTGGTCGCAATTACGACCTCTGCGACCCTGGTAGTTCCGCCAGTGCCTCTCCTTCCCTGTACTCCATTCCACCATCCATTCCACTATCATACCCATCCTCTCCATCCCATCATCATACCCGTCCTCTGCACCCTATTTCCCCATCGTACCCATCCTCTCTATTCCTGCATTCGGCTAACTAATCGATTTTGAAAATAATAGTTAGCTGCAGCCCTACATTATACATTACATACTATACATTATACATAATGTACTATTGCTGGGATTTGTAGTCCTCTATAGCTGGTGGTATTCTGCATTGCTGTATAATGATTATACAGCGCAATGCACAATACCACTGACCAGTTATAGAGGAACTACAAATCCATTATACAGCGGCACAATGCAGAATACCACCAGCTGTAGAAGAACAACAAATCCCAGCAATAGTACATTATACAGGCTGTATAATGTATTATTGCTGGGATTTGTTGTTCCTCTATAGCTGCTGGTGTTCTGCAGTGTGCCACTTTTTTTTTTTTAAAGAACAGGAAACATTAATAAGGTAGAATGTTGTTGCTAAGTGACTTACTTTGAATCGTGGGCCCTTGATTGTCGGCGGGAAGCGGCAAGTCAGGAAAAGCACAGGGAGGAGAGGAGCAGAGGCATGTCTTCAGCGTGCGCGGCTTAACCAGCGTGTGCTGTAGGCATGGCGTGTGCGTGGTGTGCACGGTGGGCGTGCGGCGAACAGGCAATTTAATTGATAGCCGACTAATCAACGATTAGCCGACTAATCAACGATGGAAAACGTTGACAATGTTTTCCATCGTCGATTTTAATCGACTAAATTGAATAGTTGTTGCAGCTCTAGTTGAAATGTGTATTCCAAGTCATCCGTGCATTCAATATTTGTCCCTAGGTGACATTATGGGTCTGAAAGACCCCGGATGTCTCCATAAAGAGGACCTGTCACACCCTATCTGCTATTACATAGGGTGCTTGTTAGCCCCCTATGTAATAGCAATAGCGTTAGTGTAAAAAAAAAAAAATCTTTAAAAATTTAAGTCACACAAGAGAAATTAAAAAAAATAAAATGTAAGTCCCCCTCCCTCCACGTGCACGCACATACACATGCAAACACGCGTCGGTGCGCTTACGTGCGAAAATGACAATTGTGCTACACATGTAACATATCGCCGCGAATGTCGGACAGCAATAATTATAGGGCCATCAATCACTGTTTGATGAGCGGTAAAAGTGTTTAAAATGTTCCCTAGGGAAATTTGGGGTATTTAAATTTTTTGCGGGCGAACACAATTTTAAAGCTTAAAATGTTTGGTATCTATTTACCCGGCGTGACCCCGTTTTTCATATTTTACAAAAAAATTGGGTATTATATTATGTTTCTATGCACTAAATTTTAATTTAATTAATTTTTTCCTAAAAATAACGGTTTGTTAAACATTTGCGCAAAAACTGTGCGACATAACACATTGCAACTAGCATCTTCTCTGAGGGGAGGAGGAGGGGGGAAAGAGTGAGACACAGACCGACCATGCTGAGAGGAGGGAGGGAAGCATGAGAGAGACCGACCAACGCTAAGAAGCTGTCAGCGTCGATCGATCTGTCTCTCTCTCCAGAGTCTCTCACAACCCCCACCATCCCTAGGGCCTCTGTCTGCAGTGCTGCACAGGCGGCAGCCGACATACTTCAACCTCGATCTTCAACCTCGATCTTCTGCCCGGTAAATTAAGCTCCGCCCCCTGTAAGCACTTCACCGGAAGATACCAATAGCGCGGGGGGCCCGGGGACCAGGCAAATATAGCTATTCATATAACTCTATCAGAAAAAATTAGAGCTTGGAGCCCGGACCCCCCCGGTTGCCGGGGCCCCTTACAATGTTACTGGCCATACTCCCCTGACGGCGGCCCTGGCTATAAGCTCATGGTCGCTTTAGCCTCTCCTCCCTGCCTGGGTCTGTCTCTCCATGGGTTCCCGCTGCTCTCGCTTGTATGGGGATCCAAATACAAATGGCTGGTGGGGGGGAGGAGTAGTGCGCCGCTCGATCACAATGATCAAGCGGCATGAGAGAGCGGCGGGCGGGGAGGAGAGCGGAGCCGCTGTCATCCTGTCAGTTTCAGGATGACAGCGGCTGTATGTGTGGCCGAGCGGAGGATCGGTAAATATCAGTGATATTTACTGATCCTCTGTGCAGCACAAACACTGGAGTGATCATCTGATACACTACAATGTTTGTAAATAACTGGGGACACATAGTACCATGTGTCCCCAGATATGAATGAACAGGATGTAATTTACATCACTTCCTGTTCATTCATGAATTTTTGAATGGGGAGTAACACTCACTACAGAGACCTCTCCCCATTCAGAACCTGTTGTTGATAGTAAATATTTTACTATCAACATTTTCTGAATGAATTGGAAGCCTCTGCTTTCCATACCATGTGTCCCCAGATATGAATGAACAGGATGTAATTTACTGTGTCCTCAATTTCTTTTTCTATTTCAAAAGTGAAATATGTCAGGGGTCTGTTTAGACCCAAGATATTTCATCGTAGCCCCCCCCAACAGGAGGAAAAAAAAAAAAAGCTAAAAAAACCGAAATTATAAAAAAAAAAAATTAACTACTAATAAAGAAAAGCACAGCCCCACCTCCCCCCCACACACACAACATACACAACATACACGTGCACCATATTGTGGGGTACGTCATGCACATGTGCTGCAGTGCGTTGTTAGAACGCATCACAGTGCATGATTTTTATTTATTTTTAAAAACATGAGCAAAACATTATAACGCATTGGCAGCACATGGCAAAACATTATAACGCATTGCCGTGCATTGTGATACCTTGTGTTGCAATTAAATATACGCCTGTATCATTTTATCACAACACAAACACCAACACAGCGCAAAAACGATTTTGAAGTTCCTTCTTTTTTTTACCTTTTCGCAAAAAGGCGTAATTTAAAATTTGCAAATATTTGTTTTTTATTAACTCAATACAGTTTTATCTTTTAGATTTAGTCAGAAAATTATTTTGTTTGTGCACTGATACTGATTTTAGTGTGCTTTATCAATTGAATTGTGTATTTTTATTGGTTTAATATTAATTTGAGAAACATTTGCGAAATTATCGCAGGGCCTACAATTTAGTAGCACCTTCTTTTTATTCTACCGGGCCTGTTCTTTCAGAAAATATATGGTTTGGGTTTTTTTTTTACAAACGCTAGCAACGCAGCCGTTGAAAATCAAATCAATGCGAAAAATTGCAAAAATGGTGTGGCCAGCTGAGGTGCAAAAAGTTCTGGAGGACTTGGCAGCGAAATGGTTAATTATCCTTTAAGAATGTTCCTTTGTGACTGTTTTTGACTTTTTTTGTGACATGTTTGAATTGTTTTGTATAAATAGACCACCAAGTCTAAATTGCTGTTAGTTATATATTGTAAAATAACTGATGTATATCCTAAACTAATTGTCTTTGTAAACTAATTATCAGTGCTCTAAATTGTAAAAAAAATGATTTGTTATATGATATTGTTATTGAATAGTGATGATTTTTCCCTCTCATACTTCTGCATTTTTATTGCTTTGCACCTGAATGTTGAATTGTATTTTCCTTCATTAGGTGCTTCAGGCCCAATAGTACTGGATGAGATGGGTGATCGAGACCTAAATCTAACTATCCTCTACAGTTCTGTGGCAACTAATAAAGTATGTAAATATTGCCGAAACAGATAAGACATTAGAAAATGGTTTGTGGGAAGTTACAAAATGAGTGAACTTGCATAACATCTTTGAGATAGAGTGATTACTTTTTTTCAGGGACCAGGGCTGTCACATGTTTTTCAGTTTCTAAAACAGAAGCAAAAAAAGATGGAAACACCATTACATGTAGACATTTACAAAAGAGCAAGGGTTTCTACAGGCATAGCCCAATACAGCTGATACTTATTAGAACAGGGAAAACTCATACACACACAAATATACTGTATATCTATAGGCCATTCTCAAATTCTAAGGGTCAACTAATCTTAGGGAAATGATTAATTCTCTGGGGAGAGTGTGAGGGGGAGAGAGATTGTGAGATGGTAGGCAGTGCCAAAAAATCTTCCATATCACCAGTTTGTTCATGCTACACTAGAGGCATCCTGGGAGCTAGCTGTATGGGCTAAAAATATCCAGCTCGATGAACTATCAACCCCCAGAGATTAGCCATCTGCTATATGCAACAATCATCCAGACTATGTGGCAATCAGTGATTACTCACTACTCATCTACTCATTCAGCACCCCTCCGTCCAGTCCCAGCCAATAGATCCACTGTGCCACCCAGGGTGGGAGCTAATGCACGCACCCGTCCCTCTTCCTCTCTGGGCTGCCAGTGAGTGTGTGTGACAAACAGACAGCAAAACATGCATGGCTTAAGTCCAGGGGCGTAACTAGAAATCACAGGGCCCCATAGCAAAATGTTGTATGGGGCCCTTTGATTTCGAGTTATGCCCCTTCCAGAGCCCACCTGATATACCAAACAGCCCACCTGAAAGTGACCGTGCAGAGCCCGCCATAGACTCTCTATGGTGGGCTCTGCAGGGTCTCAGGTGGGCTGCACACCTCTTACCTTTCAGCGCTGTCCGCCTCCGTGGTCGCCGGGCCCCACCTCCTCTTCCGTCCTCCTTCACTGCAAACGCCGGGTCCAGCCTCTTCTGCAGCAGCTGCTGGCTGCCACTGACACAGCAATGCACCGGCTGTGAGGAGTAATGCGCCGCTGCACACATCACTGACAGGTTGTCAGTGATCTAACAGTAGCACGTTCCTCCTCACACCTGCCAGTGACAGTCAGCACCCTGATATGCCATAGCGACCCATAGCGGCTGCCTGGGTTGCTATGGCGATTGTTACGCCACTGCTTAAGTCATGTAAAACACCACATGACTTTCTTTACAAACAATACACTTAGGATAGAGCAATATTTGAACTATTTAACCAGAGAAATGTTCCCAGGTATATTACCACACAGATCCCAGGCCGGAACAAACAAGAACAAAAATGGGGACACTTTTTTATCTGGGACCAGCCTCCTGAAAGCAGGGACTGTCCCCAGAAAGCTAGGACGTCTGCTTAGCATAGTATACATACAATTGATATGTTTTTGGCACTCACTTACAATAAATAGTATGGAGGAATAAAAGCAAAGCACAGACCGATTCGAAAATTTAGAGCACATATACTGGATAATAGTAGAGTGCCTAGCTTATTACAGAAAAAAACAATATCCTTTCTATGGCAAGTCTTTCTTTAAATGGTATTTTATGATAAAGCCATAGCTGCTCACCATAACCTGTTTTTTCCTGACCAGTCCCAGTCTATAGTTACATGTGGGGTTTCCATATACCACAGTGATAATAGTCAACTAGCCTGAAACAGCTGTTTGCAGTTTGAAATAAAAGTATCTACAATGTTAGACTGTATTACCAGTGCAGAAACTAGGGGGGCAGGGGGGGTATGTGTC